GTTCCAGAGCCTTCATATCTCGAAGCGATATCCAAACTCATTTGATACTCACCTACTTTGCAAGGCAGATCATGATAATGATCAAGTCTTGAAGCCTCAATATCCAGATAATTTGCGTTGTTAATGGTGCAATAACGTGTTATGCGTGCTTCCAAAACTGAAGACTTTGGAAAACATCCAGCAAAATTCTAAGAGAGTTGAAAGAAATTAGGGCTCGTTCTCGAAAATAGACACATGTATCCTCTATTGCTTACGTAGCCTATAAAGACCAGGTGCAGGGAAATTCGCATGACCGCAATGTTTTCTGCACATGACCACCGCGGCCGACACATCCTGCGACAGCTTTTGATTAAATGAAGCAAAGGGGAAGGAAATTGCAGCATGCGTGACGTGTTGGGACAGGTCATGAGGGTGACGCTTAAAGGCAGTGTCCGGGCAAAAAGTCGATCTCGAGATTTCATGCTTATCCGGGCCTATTCGCTATGCTGAATCCGAAAATCCACACTGGAGAGCGCGAAAACGGCGAAAAAGGGCATTAACGGAGCAGGGAAATCGGAAGTGAACGGGGTTTTCCCCACTGCGAATTCACGGTCCCAGCTCCCGAAGCGATCTTCTTGGTTCCGATTTCAGATCATACATTCGCACATGGCCTGTGGATATGTCAGAGCGTTTAGCGGATTTGAAAAGATCGCTCCAGAAGCTGGGACCATGAATTCACTGTGGGGGAAGACCCCGCCCACTTTTGATTTCCCTCCAGCGTTAGAGCTTTTTTCGCCGTTTTCGCGCTTTTCAGTGTGGATTTTCGGATTCAGCATAGTGAATAGGTCCGGGTAAGCACAAAATCACAAAATCGACTTTTTGCCCGGACACTGCCTTTAAAGGCAGTGTCCAGGCTAAACCTAACTCCCTCCGATTAATGTCGGTCCTGAACGTAGGCCTTAGAAAAGAGGCATCTGCGTTGGTCCGGTCTTCTAACGTTGTTTCTGAATGGAGATAAGGGGCCTGGAAGTCCCTGTGGGCGGAGTCTGATGTCAGAGCCTCTTGACACGTACTGACATGGCAGTGAGCAGAAGCTGCACACTGCTGCAACTGCACCCATGCAGTTGTAGCTCCTCTGTGCTGGCATGCCGACGAGGACGAGCGATTCGAAACTCGTCCGCGCCCTCAAAACAAGGTCCCCAGGACTCGGGGGGGGGGGGGGTTGTGAATTTTGGAGAGTTTGAAGTTCGGAACTGTAATCAGGGCCACGGAAAGGACCCAGAATGACGAAAACATGGGGGGCCAAATCTGGATGGACGCTGCCTTTAACACTGCGCGAAAAGATCGTGTCCCAATCCAACCTCGTCAGATCTTTCAACTGTAAACACGTCTTATAAACAATTGTTCCAAGTACTCCCTTCAAATCCTTGCCTCCACCGCTTTAAAATGGACAAGTCAGTACCCTAATTTTACGAGTACAAGACGCACGTGTTCTTTTTAAACTCGGCCAGCTTAGACAAACCAAAAAAGCTGACTGAAAGAATCTTTACCCTGCTGCTCCTTACCTACTCAAACAATAACTCGGACGAGCGGCGGGCCTTAATGGCTTTGCGGGAGAGCGGCGAGCTTTGATTTATTAGCGTGGCTTTCTTGCGGACGAGCGGCGGACCTTGATTTGACCAGCGGCGTACGATCATTATCAAACTCTTTATCTTACATCATCTTGAACTCTCTCATTGCGACGTTTTTCATTTTGTTTTCATGTTTTGGCTGTTTTCAAGGCCTGGTGGTTATTTGAGCTACTAAAATGATTTGAGGTTACTCGTTGCCGATGAAGCACATGAACTTCTTCACATTCATTACACCCCAGAAAGGGAAAATGATTAAGGAAGCGGATACAAAGAAGTGAATTTTACTTATGACAGCGACTAATTTCTGGCATATGCAGAAAGCCCCTCTGAAGAGAATATTCGATTACAAGAGGTTTGGTTCTTCTGTAAATATATAGAAGTAACCAAAGGTGAAAATAAGTCTGAGTTGACGAAGTTAGAAGTAGGTTTACGTTTGATCGTGTTGAAAGCAAATACATCACGATGTTTCAGAATCGTATTTTCAATGTGTAACTGCACAGATCGCATACAGTCTGCCCCAATTCCCAACCAGGCCAAAATTGGCATGGCGGGAGTGCGTGCCGTATTGCGGTATTGCGTCACGTCTACGGCTAGCCAGTCTGCTCTCTCCTCAATTCCTGCGCTCTCTGCGACGCGCGCTATGCAATGCAAACCCCTAGCGCTGCGGGCGCGCAAATTTAGCCGACGGTTTGGCTTGATCCCGATTGGAGCAGACTGTAAAGGGTTATCCAAGTGAAAATTGGAGCTGAATCAGCGGCCTTACATGGCTCTCTCCTCTTAGAAATTCAGGTACTTATATATACTGTTCAGTTTCTCTGAGGACTCTGCGACATCAGTTTCCCTCTACTAAGTGTAAAAGCAGATCCACATCAACTATCATTATCTTGTTTCATATATGGTGGCTAGAATATCACTTGTCTTTTTCTGCATTTTGTGTTGTTGCTTACGCGTCCTAATAAATTACCTTTGAAATGCGTTGTAGGGATCAGATTGTGTGTCTGTAGCCAAAGCTGCAGACTATAAGCAGTAGGCAGCAGGCTCGAATCCTCGTAGTTCTGTAAAGATGGCCAAAGGCGGGAATCATGATTAGTAGCTCGCTAAGGGCACTCCGCTCGTCCGGTTTGATGTAGAGCGTAGAAACGGGTACTATTAGCGGGAGAGTGGAGAGAAGTATGTGAGTCTCCCGCTAAAGGTAGCGCTCGCCCGCTTTATATCTCTAACGGGCGGGAGGCGTGCCTCCAGAGAACATTCGGCGAGAGGCATGATCGCCCGCCCGGGGGAGGCCCGCCGCTTGTCCGAGTTATTGTCTGAGTAGAAGAATTGTGTAGGAGAGCGACTGTTCCGCGAGGCACATTGGTGCACCGATTGCTGGAGAAAGGCGCATCCTGCACTCGTAAAATTAGGTAGTATTAACGTGCAGGTTGCTCGAAAGTCTGATAAGACATATATAAGGTCACAACACAAAATAAAGGGAAACCAGCAAGGCGTACTCGGCCAAAATTAGAGTTGTTTCATACTGCCGCTCCGACATTGACCGCAGCAGCCTAACTTGAGTCAAAATTCTGTAAATCTATACATATATAAAACTCAAAAATTGTCAGTTTGGAGGGTATGTGCGTTATAGAAACGCGCGCCGCCCAACCGATTCGGCTGAAACATTGCACACACATATACTCGACCCCCGCACAAATGTTAGGCTACTTTTTGCGGCGACTCGTATATTTATAAGTCTGGTTGGAAGCTTACAACTGCGAAATTGACTATCTTTAGTGTTTTCTTCTGCTTACAGATTCACAAATTGATGCATACTTGTGCGTTCACCAAAATCTGCTTAGAAAGTAGGGTATCGTTGAAAACTCTCGTTTGACATTTGCAGGCATGATTGTGTTTTGCCATAAGAGCATGCACTTCAGTATGCTACCTATCTCTACATAAATAGAACTCAAAGTTTGTAAGTATGTCTGTTGATATGTGTTTGATAGATTTTCCTGTGTGTAAACCAGTTTAGCTGAAATTCTTCATACACATGATTTCGACCCCGCGCAGATTATAGGTTACTTTTGCGGCAATCGTCTGGCTCCTTCTACCGTTTTAGCGTTTGCTTACGAGTTTCTTAAGAGATAAAAGCCTACCATTTTCTAACCAAGCATTTCCCTGCTATGTAAGCGGAGGCGGTAAAGCTCATTTTTGTTTCAAGATCATGAGGACGCGGTGAATTTGGGTGGAGATGTCCCAAGATAAGTCACATATTGGAAGGGGAGGGAATCTTGCATGCAGAATTAAACCGGCGACCAAAACAGCTACCCCTCCCTATAAACAAAGACCTAGACTGGACCGCGAAAGCCAGCTAATATATTGTCTGCTATTGTGGGGAGTTTTTATGGATATGCTTGTCAATGCGGTAGAGTTGATTGGCATTAAGTATGTCGTTGAGAAAGCGGCAGCAACTCACCCCAGATTGCTGCTTATCCTACTAGCAGGCCTCAAAAGTGGACCAACCGCGTTGGTTTGGTCCACCAATGTTGCCTACAGAAGGAGATAACGGACCGGATCTTCTTTGCGCTCCGCCCCTTCTTTGCCTCCACCCATCCACGTATTGCCCCGAGACGTTCTGGCATGATAAGGAACCTCGAGACGCATAGTTTGTAATGTGGCACTGTTGCACACGACGAGGTTTCCTGTTGCATACGTGACAGCGCTGGGGTACTTGCCCACTTCTGCCAGATTAGGGCTTCAGAAAAGGGCAAGTCTAGAGTTTTCTAGTGATAAGAACCTCATATTCCGAATCAGCGCTATGGAAAGACCCGACAACAATAAAGACATGGAAGACGAAATTGGTGTACGCTGCCTTTTGTCTGCTTTTGCTACTGAGAACTTCCTATAACCTTTTTTGATAAGCAAGCTTCTGTGGAGCCTATCTCTATCCAATTCTCGAAGCTAGACGGTTAAAGAACTTTTAGAAAGCGACATTTCAATAATTTCGACTTGATTTGTGTTCCGACTGTATATAAATTGATATGCCTTGATTTTCTTTTTTCATGCTTTTTTCCAAAATGATGTGCATCAGTGATGTTTAACATTGAACTTTTGCTCTGTCTCCTTTACCTCTCCGCTAAATTGGCCTTCAGTTGATTAATCAACCAGAATTGAAGTAGTCAACACTGTACCAAAATCTGGCCACTTGAGTGTATAGCCCATATTCAATGTAATAAGCGATGACTATATTTTCACAATTTTGTTTATGCCAGAAAAAGGCAGTTAATATGGCCCAAGTTGGTCATAGTTCAATTATGATACTGACGACACAAGAGCAAACGCAAACTTGGCTTTATTGCAGAAACATAAAAATACCGGCTCAGGGAAAGTGACCAACTCAAAAAACCACTTGTAGCCGGTACCAACTTTTTATTTGTATGGAACTATGGAGCATCAGACAAGACGCGATCGATCTAATCGCGTTCTGCTGGACGGATGGGTATATTCTTTTTGGAACGGCTAGAGGAGCCAACTTTCGGAGCCTCAATGGTCAATTGTCCTTTGTCATTTAGTTCCGAGTGGAGAGCGTCGGGATCTGCATCTTCCGGCAATGTCCATGAACGGACGAATGACCTGTAATAGTGTTTTTTGCTAAAAAATACAATACATACATCCTTGAAGGTCGTCGGTATGTCTCACAATGCTACTTTGTTAGCTCCTTGATACTGTGTTGCAGTGGAATGCCATTGGAAGGTTAAGATTTGCCGTAAAATTCGCCGTTTTTTTGTTTTTTAGACATTAAAATTTTCGCTTGCGCTTCGAGTCTTGCCAAGCAATATTATTTAACTGATTGAACAACGATTTTCGACAAATTACGAAGGGGCATTTCTGTTTTTGACTGTGTACCTGGCCATAAAGCTGTGATCATCCTTATGTTCTTGTTTTCCCTCAACGGTCAGGAGCCTGCCATCCAGATTCACTTTCAGTTCCTCTGGTTTGAACTGAGAAACATCAATGGAGACCGCAAATTTCTTGTCATCATTTACCAGCTAAAATTATGGCTTAAATTTCTGACCCATGAGTCCTCAGCCTTACCTTGTGAGCTTCATTGGCCACTTGTAAAATGGAATGATCTGCATCTCGCCAGTAAGGCGCGATACCTCCACGTCCGTTTTTTGCCAGTTCTTTCATATACTCGTCCATCATGCGATCCATCATTCTGGACATGTGCCAAAACGACATTTTCGACGTCTGATTGACTTTCTGATGTGCAGCAGCAGTTAGTGGACGTACAAAGCAAAATGAAACACCACTAACTTCTATGAGCCTCGTCAGCATGAATAAGTGGAATCGTATCAGAAGCTATCAGTTTGCTTGCACGTTGGGATGAGTTGAATGTTCACTTTTCTGTCAGGTTAACTTGAAAATGTTGGGACGGGTTTGGTGGAACATAATGTTCAGATCTTTATTTCGCCCACCATATCGGATACCTTTGAATCAGCATACCTGGAATTTATGCGCTTTAATATCTATGCAATCTATCAGGTCCTAAACTTATCGTTAGTAAACTTAGGACACATTATGTACGTTGATACGAGATAACAATTCTCCTCCCCCCCCCCCGGGCAACCGAGAGTAAAGCTGCATTCTCAAGAATGCAGTGCTGACTCCTTCAGACGAACGTCAGAGACTTCCGACAACAAATTCAATCGTCAAAAATTCTAGAGTGCTCACTTGGAAGATGGGACTTCCCAGATATTTATAACACTACTAGTTGACTTTCTCGGTCCAGCCCGGGCCATTGTTTATCTGCACTGCGAGCCCCCCCCCCCCCCTCCCTTGTATTTTATAGGTGGCATACCCAGTTTCACGCGGAAATGGGTAGCCAAACCCGTCAAGAGGTATACACTCTCAAGTGAAATGGCAGGACTTACCTCTCCGCAATCATGCGCTTCACCTCCACCCGACCACCTCGCTTTGCCCCGCTTTCCTGCACAGAATACAACGTGCGAGAAAACATTTAGGAATAGAGGGATCCACTAAGCGACTCATGTAGAGTCACCGCATAGTGCCTAACCATCGTGTAGAAATGAGATCTACCGTCCCCGTTCACGTGGCTGTGGTGAAATGACTTGATAGTGACTGCAAGCTTTCATTTTTTGAGGATTCAGTAAACAAATCAATAAATCGATGAAAGGACTCGACGAATTCTTGTGAAAAGTAGCCTAAAACCGTCTCCAGGGTGAAAAACATATGTGTGCAAAGTTTCAGCTCAATCAGTTTAGTCGTGGGCGTTTCTGTAAAGCACATACCCTCCAAACAGACAATTTTTGAGTTTTATATATAGAGATTATTGATAACCAGTCGTCTCCTGTGCTTCGCGAAGACTCGCAAACTTATCTGTTCTCGTACCCTTTCTCGAATTTATTAGTTGCTAAACTAACTCCTAACCAACTGTTTTGGTTTGGAGCATAAATATGGAGAGTTACATAAGTTTTGAGCCTTTCTTGATTTGATTAGAACCTTGTATCGCGGCTACAAAGCGCGATCTGCAAGTTACAGACTCCTTTTCCCAAGCTGTGTTATCATCTTAGCTGATTTTTTACAGAAGTCAACAAACTGCGCCGTCAACAAGCAACGGAACGGAAAGAGATATGGGAGCCAGATCACAGCAAATGCTTCAACGCGACAGTATGGCCGTAACGCTTACGATTTTTTCATGTTTCCTTTTGTAAGCAAGTGCGCGTAACTAACGACTCTTTTGTCTTGCCGGAAAAAGGAGAGGAAGCTTAGCCCTCTGTGCGCCGGACTCAAAATTCTGAGGGCTAAGCTTCCAGTGCGCCTTTTGTATACTCACAAAAACCGTAGACTAGATCTTACGGAACTTCAGTATTTTCAATATGCGCCAAAAAGATAATTTTAACTGCTTGATAGTGTGCTATCATGTAGTCTGAATAGTATAATAGTATTTGCATTAAAGATTTTCTCGTTATATATATTTTTGTTATCATGCTATTTGTGGATGGGGTTAATTATCCAAGTTTGAGGATTCTCCGATAAATTTGGTTGGTCTATGGTGTTGACTTTAAAATCTATCATAATGTGAGGAAAGCAAATTAAACCATTGCTTTTTCTCTTTTTCCAATCAAAAATGGCATAAATACACGCACTGAATATCGCGCTCCAAACACTGCGTATCACGGCATCCTTTCGACTATGCAGCAACAGTCGCATCGCCAGATTGTTGTAGGCTACAGATTTGGTTAAATGTTAGCCTAAGAAGTTCTTAATAGACTGAACATTAAGAGAGACTTTAATCAAATACCTCAAAATATGTTTTTTTGCTTTTTTATTGCAGTAACAACCTCAAAATATGCTTTTTTGCTTGTGATCCTGCTTACGTAACGGGGACTTCAATGGGGATCGTGATTCGTAAAATCTTGCAAAGTTATGGGAACATTTCTTTTATAAATGCTTTATACCAACGCGTACTGGGCCTCGGGAGCAGATGAAGTCAAATTTGGTGTCGTGCCAAAGCGTATGCGACTTTTACTGGTGAGGAGGTCTGAGTGGACAATTCCTTACTAAGTGATCAACGTATTTATTTCCGCTTTTTCCGTGGCTCATCTCGGGATTTGCGAGTACAACATTTCCTTGCCTCTGTCCATATTTTTGTTGTTATTCTTCTTTTTTTCTTTTTATTTGTGTTTTGTCTAGCTCATTCCGGTTGTTGTCGGGTTGTATGAAGCACGCCTTCGGGCGTACTATTAGGTCGTCAAGAAAATAATGTCCGTTTTTATTTGCTTGCTTTAACAAAGCAACCAGACTCAACCCAACAAAGTGTAATGGGTATTGTTCGATAGAGCAAAGCAAGCTCTACAAGATAGCTTCATAACATTACGCCAAGTTCGATCCACGGAAAGTTTGAACTCAAAATCCGAAGATTTCCAAATGCCCAAAAAATCGAAAAAAATCAGATCTTCGTCCAAATAATTTCTACGGACCTCCCACTCGCACACTTCAATACTTTCGATATCTGATATCCGTATGTGCAGCTGCTGTACTTTTTCCTTGACTAGAAACTGAGAAAACGAAAATTTCCCTGATTTTCTCAAAGCAATGCTGAGCCGTTTTTGCATATGTAGTTCTATACTACAGGCCTAGGTAAGTATAACTTTAGATTTTCAGCCCATTCCAAGCGGTAGTTTTCGAAAAATAACGAATTCGGATTTTTTCGTTTCAGTTTCAGTGCTAAAATTGACATTTCTCGAAAAGTACCGCTCGAAATAGGCTGAAAACCTACAGTTATGCTTATCTAGGCTTGTAGTATAGAACTACATATGCAAAAACGGCTCAGCATTGCTTTGAGAAAATTAGGGAAATTTTCGTTTTCTCAGTTTCTAGTCAAGAAAAAAATACGGCAATCGCACATATCGATATCAGATATCGATAGTATTGATATGAGCGAGTGGGAGGTCCGTAGAAATTACTTGGACGAAGATCTGATTTTTTTCGATTTTCTGGGCATTTGGAAATCTTTAGATTTTGAGTTCGAACTCTCCGTGGATTGAGCATGGCGCAAAGACATGAGTGCCATCTTGTAGAGTTTGCTTTGCTCTATCGAACAGTACCCCTTACCCTTTGTTGGGTTGAGTCTGGTTGCTTTGTTAAAGCAAGCAAATAAAAACGGACATTATTTTCTTGACGACCTAATAAATAAATAAATAAATAAATAAATAAATAAATAAATAAATAAATAAATAATGCTGCTCTTGTTCACTAACTCCTATCACTGATTACAACACAATCCAGTGACACCAAGCAATTATGTTTTTTGATTCCCTCGTTGACGACCAAGCCATTTTGGACTACATCAAAATGGACAGATTGACTAAAGCTGCGGTTTAGACTCCTGAACAGCTACCGCGATGCCCTGTTTTCTATATGGCAGGTTACCAATATTATTACTGCATAGAAGTGACATTGGAGCTTTCCATTAAACAAGAAAAGCTGAATGCACGAAAGCGCTGAACGGGAGCCAGGGCGTGCATACGCGCGTATGCACACGACCGCTAACATCTCAGACAACCGACCGGAACTTCCGCGGCGCTTTCGCAGGATTTCCGTAGGTGACCCGGCGGAAATCCTGCGAAAGCGCTGCGGAAACCCTGCAATTTCAGGGTACAGGGTTTCCGCAGTGCTTTGTTTGGAGTTCCGCAGCACTTTGCGGTTTTCGCATTTGCGCGATCCGTTTCTTCCTTATCAAGCTTCCTTTTTGATACTAGGTTTTCCTTTCCAATAGTAGGTATTCCTTTGATGTGGAAATTCCTCTATTTCTAGATGCTAAGAGACGTAGACAGCGAGATAGTTTTAATGAGAAAGCAAATGGCACAGTGTATTGTTTTATGCAGGTGCCATATAGAATTACAATAGGCCGAAGTTGATAATTGCAAATTAACAGATCAATGAAATGTTCATAAATAAATATACATAAAATCACAGAAGCATGCGAGTATCATGACTTATAATAAAGCGCGTGTCTGTCTGTCTGTGTGTGTTTGTGTTTATGTCTGTCTGTCACGAAATTCATGGAGCGTTTTGTAGGCAAGGTCTTGAGCTGAAATTTTGGCCATGGCACCTTACCAGCATGTAGGTAAAAAGTGCAAAAGCACAAGCTGATCCGATATTTGGGACCTTTAAAAACTGCGCGTCAAACGGGCCCACGCGGCTTTTGGCACTCAAAACTAGGTCATTAACTCGACTTTTTGCGAAGTCATGATTTGCCTGACAAGTACATCCGCGCCTCATGAATTCTAGCCCAGAAGGTGCTCAAAAAGTTTGCTTTTCTGCGACAACAGCGCCAAGAAGTGTTGATCGCTAAGACAGTCGATTTGGCAAGTTTTTACCTTCAAACTTGAAAAGATTTTTGTGCGGAAATTTAGCTCGAAGTGACTATTATCCTTATGACGACTACCAAGCCAAATCAAATTCAGTAATCTAATCAAATTCGCAAGTGTTCCTTTGCGACAAGTTTTTTTTTCTCTCAAAATTACCGATCTTACGTGCAGATGCTTCAAGAATGAATAGTTGTTTACTATTCATTTGTGATGTTCAGCATCGCATGGTGGGTTTCAAAGTCACCATTATGCGAACATGAGAACGGCAAACGGATAGGAGAGCCAGTGCGATCCTCCGCGAAGCGGAGGTGACGCACTGGTATATACATAACCGAATAAGGTTGGAAAAAATCGGCAGATACCAAGAATTAAAAAGCAATGTTATACTGATGGAAGAGTGAAGAATAATGGAAGAATAAGAATAAAACAAGAATAACAATCTCATTCACAAAGGATAACATGCACTTCAAAGGGAAGATGGTCCTGTGGAGAAATAAACCGTTTCCGCTTATCGGGTATCATTTTGACCTTGTCCGCGCGACTGAAGCCAGCTTAGGCCTCCCTTCCTTTCTGTAATGAGAATTGATTGATTTTCTTGATGTAAGTCGTGTCATGCCGCAAGTGTTCCACTTTGCAACTTCTTTGCCGAGAAATACGGAGCAAATTTGAACGATTCATTCAAAATTTTCGAAAATTTCGAAATCTCAACAAGCTCTGAAGTAGATTCGAAAATTTTCTGCAAAAATCAAGGCTTCACTCCGACTTGAACTTTTCTGGAATTTTCAAATTTGGAGCGACAGAACTTTTGTTTTACTCTAATATTCCAGCATTTTCCACACAAAACAGGTATGTGTCAGACTATTAAGCAGGTATGTGTAAGTGAAAGTCATTATGAATTATTGTTGAATTTTCATAAATTAATACTTAGAAAATAATACTAATGAACCAAAAGCTCGTCCCCAACCTTTTCAAAAACTCGAAACTTTCTTCCTTCACATCCGATCTGCACATGTTTATTTAAAAAGACATGCTCTTCCTAATGAAACCTGAGGCACTTGTTGATAGCTCCAGAGATCGAAGTCGGTAAAGAAAATTACTCCATTTTAATAATCCCCATGTTTGGTCGCAAAAATCTGCTTGCAGAAAATCAGAGCAATCGGTATCATAGCCAATCAGTGCAAATTTGGCACAGTCAGAAAGAGCAGGCTATAAAACCTACAATGCTCCAATTTCCGTTGCGTTTCAGTTTCAGTTTCAGTTCGCAGAAATTCTGAGAATGGAGTAATTTTCTTCTCCTGCTTCTATCTCAGGAGCTTGCTTCCATTGAAAGGTACTTCAGGTAGGTACTGTTGGAAACATGAATTCGAAAATAAACATGTGCAGATCCGTTAAAGATGTAGGAAGTATTTGGGAGAGAGAAAAGCATCTAAAACAGCAAAAACAGGAGCAGAGAAGGATAGATACATTAAAGCAGTACCGGTGCAAGAAACTTTTTCAAGAGAGGGGAGGGGGACAAAAAATAATTTAAGTTTGTGGGCGTGAGTCGTCGAACAAAGGGAAATTTGATGCTTGCGTTCGCTATTTCGCAATCGCGAATGCGTGCGCTCTCAAAGTCCTGCGGAAATGCTGGCAGATCAAAGTGTTGCGAAAATTTTCACTGCACTTTCGCAGCGCTTCATGGAAAGTGCTGCGGAATTCCGCTTTACGATTGCTGTGACGTCAATTTCCTGCAGAAACCTCGCATTTTGGAGCGTGCACTTTTTCAATGGTTAAAAAAGTGCTGCGGAAACGCTGCAAGTTCTGCTTGTCCTGCGAAAGTTCCGGTGAATTGTCTGAGATGTCAAGGTTGCAAGCGAAATAACTAGCTAATGTTACTTCTTTTGCTTTGGGCATTCCAAAAAAATGCAAAACGGATGATATAAATCGATACAGTCCTAGTTTTTCAAGCAATGTTACAGGAAAATCTCACCAAAACTAAGAGAAGCTTTGCATGCCATTTGCTTATGAGTTACATTGTTTAGATAAACATACAGTCTTTAGTGGGACCATGCACTATCCACTGACATGGCCATTTCCGAAAACGAGTTAGGATGAAGGGCCATAATTTTTGTTATGCCATAAGTAAAAACTTGCTGTCATGATCCCAGACATCGTACATGCGTCAAAGCATAAATCAAATAAGGAAGACGTCGCATTTTTTTGCACTAAACCGGTATGTCAGTTGCATGAATATAAATAGTGTAAAGGTAGTTGAACAGAATTTTCCAGAAAATTCCCAATCTTCATTTTGAGCCGTAGAATGCATTACAGGTTCGTTATAAGTTTTCGGCAGTCGAATAAAAGTCTGCTTCAGCATACTGGCAGTACTGATACTGACCGCAGACTCTGTTGACATCAGCAAGCTCCCAACTTACCCACCCAGACTACCATTTGATGATCATGTTAGAAGAGCTTACGTATCGGTAGGTGCCCGGATTATTACAGATATCTCGTGAACAAATAGAGTCCTGCCTTCTTACAAACATTGTTACAGATGATTACACTGCCATACAATCCATCCATGACAGAATCACAGAAAATGCAGGAATGTCATAAATTGGACAACGTGGATGCCGAGCATAGAGCTTCGGACATATCGGCAAGGAAGCTGTCTTTGAAATGTTAATATTATAGCTGGTAATGTTCAGGAGGAGCAACTTTGTGAGCATATCATAAAATTCAATGACTGGTTGAATAAAGAGATACAAGGCGCCAGTGAAAAGGTCAGTTTTGAAAGCTATACAAGCAACTCACATAAGCCTGCGATTTCAAACTGATAAAGCAAAATTCGATAAATGAATCTAACAAAACCGACGCCTGTCTTTGTTATCTGCTGTGCGCTTGTTTACGCCGAGTTATGTGCATTTTGGAGCGAAAAATATCTGCAGGATCCAGACAAAATTGATTTTCTTTGTCTCTTCAGCACACAAAACCTAAAAACCAAAACCTAACCTAAAAACATTTATAACTCGGCGCCCAGAGGCGCACATTGAACGTTGCGCCGAAATAAGTGACGCCGACTTTTGCACCACTGCCATGAAACAACCACTGGGAAACGCTCAAATTCATGCTGTAAGATACTCTAAGGTACTCAGAGGAGCATTTTACAGAATTCAGTAAAGGACCGGGCATATATCACGCAATTTCATCGCCTCGCGATTCTCCCAACAAGACAGCTGTGACGAATACATTGCAAGCTGATAATCTTGCGTTTCGATTGCGCTAGTTAGTTGTAGTCGTGTTTGAAAACAATCGAAATGCAAGATGATCGGCATGCAATGATTTCGTAATACTCAGACAATCAAATGTCTCAGCCGGAAGCCACAAAGCCACCGCCTAGACCCACCAAAAGCGCGGTGGCCTCATCGCCTCACTGTCGCTTCCCGCTGAGAGCTTTGTCGGAGTTTTGTCGGAGCTTGTCGAAGAGGGCTCAGCGGGCAGCGAGCCCGCTCCGACAAGCTCCGACAAAGCTCCGACAAAGCTCTCAGCGGGAAGCGACAGTGGCTGCGATAAGGCAACGACGCTTTTGGTGGGGCCCGCTGAGAGCCTGTGATTGTCTGAGTAGTTGTCTGGTGGGGAGAATCGCGGGACGATGAAACCGCTTGATGTATGGCGGCCCTTAAAGGCAGTGGCCCGGCAGATTCGCGCCTGGGGTTTATTGCTATGGTGGGGTTCCTGGTCACCCCACTGATCTCCAGGCGCAATCCGGCTGGTTGACTTTCTCTCTGGGCCGGGAAAATAGCCCTTGAACCGGCGCGCGCTCGGACGACTTCGCTTACCATTCGGCGCGGGGCCCCACGACCGCTCTTCCACATTGTACATGCTAGCTATCCAAAATTACAGGCAGCAGGGTCTTCGTGCCAGGGCCTCTCAACTTTCCAATGAAAATCTCGTCCAAACTGCCTTTTAGAAATTGGCTAAACGCCCCGAAAAAGGTCTTTTCGCCCGTTCCAAAGCTCAATTTTGGGGTCTAGGGGTCAAAAAAGCCCAAAACATGCAAAAAGATAGAAATGCAAAATCTGCCGGGACACTGCCTTTAAAACCGCCTTCCAGGAATGCGAGAATCAAAAAAAAATCGGACTGGTTATTATTTTCGCAAAAGCAGAAGTGGAATTTCTTCATTTTCATAGTTTGCTGTGGAAGTGGACAAACTCAAATCCTTTTTGAACCATTCTAAGCTGATACTGTAGAGTACACTTTGTACTATTACACAGTCTAGTTGCATTTGCAGAAGTTTATTCTTTTACAAAATATGAAAATGTTTTTGCGAAAAATACCTGCGTACGAGCTCAGATAAAATACATTCCTTTATTCATGAGGCATGTAAAAAAGTATCTACCGTGACCGATTCGTGGAAATTGTGAAATGCATAGAAGACATTTTCTCATTCTCACGCGCACTTGGGAGGACAAAAATACCACTGTTTTTCAATATGGTACCTTCGCGAGTATTATTTAAAATACTAGAAACTCCTCTTCGAATCAAACTAGAAACTCCTCTTCGAATTAACTTTAAGTTTCCATACTCAACAATGTTAGGGTCAAACCTTGCTCTATTTTGATGCGCAAATTCAAAACAAGAGAAATGTTTCAAAAAGATCTTGTGTATAGTGCTAAACTTGTCTAACCTTTGATTTAACTGGCTTGGCGGTTGGAGGTCGGGGCTTTGCGACCTAGTTAAGGCCACTCGGGCCCTCGACGCAGTCTGCGTCACTCCTTCGCGCGTGCTCTCTGACCATTACCTAGCCTGAATTAGGTCATGAAGCTCCGCCTTCCAGTCGCCAAGCCAGTCGAATCCAATGGCACTTGTGCGTACATACAAAGTACATTTCAGCTAACGAGAGGATTCCATATTTTTCGACATAAAATCAGCCTTATTCTAATTTGTGTTGCATTACGATAAGAGTGGTTCATGAAAATAGAAAAATAATTGAACCGCCGTCAAGCCCGTCTTGTTTTCTTTTGGCACTCACAGAAACACGCACCACTTATTTTGACGCAGTCTGCAGAGAAAGAAGACAGATTTTATTTCAGCGTTTGGGCTCCTCCAAGTGATATATGTTTCAACTGAAAAACCCACTTTGACTAATTGCAATTCCCTTATCAAGAAAAACTCTCAGATTAAAAGAAGAACTGATGACTTTGTTAGTCTATCATTATGTTTTACCTGATCTAAACGAAGTTCAAATCGCTATACCATCAAATGACTGACACAAGTTGTGCGAACCGATTGTGCGAGTTCTTAGTTCTTACTGCATGTTTTCTGAAGATAATTAATAATTGTGCATTTTGCGTTGATTTTGACGCGATAAAAATTCTAGAGTTTTGCACTCTCAACTTTTTAGGAACTATTATGTCTATGAAACAGCATACAGGGTGTACCAAATGTCTACTTGATTGTTGATAACTCCCTTGTAATAAATCTTTTGAGAAGCTTTAGGTAGCATTTTGTAGAGCTGGCTTCAACTTAGATTTACAGTATGGTGCGAGTCAACCCCTCGTCATTTTTGTAAACATTTTTTCATAGGTCATGCCAAATATACCACAACAACCGACTTCTGCTATTGTCAAAAATCTCATTAGGCCATTCAAAAAGCTCTACGAAAGCTCAAAATTTGTGCACTGAAATCAGCACGCATGAAAACCTTGATACACAATTTCTCAGATTTTCTTTTTTTGGAAATTCCTTCCAAACAGTCTTTTTTCAAAGTGGCGCCATATGCTGCAAGTTCTTAAAGTGTTCCTACAGTTATGAAGATAAACCTTAACTCGCCTTATAATGTGAAACAATTTAAATTGAAGCCTCTACAAAACGGTACCAAGAACTTCTTAAAAGACTTCATTACAAGAGAGTTAAGTCAACCAGTAGGGACGTCATTTTGGGACACCCTGTATAGTAACATCACATAGTACGAAAGCTAACCACTATATTGAGGTACGAGATGTTTACGATAAGACGTATGTATGGACAATTTACAAGGAGCAGAAGCTTGAAGACCCTTTGCCTGAGGTAACCTCGACTTTGAAATTTCTTGGAGAATATAGCAGAGGATTTTGAATCAATATTAGATCGTTCGGAAACTTTTTTTGCTTTTTCGATCTGTCATAACTCAGACAAATACCGGAACTTCCGCAGAGCGCTTGCGGAAGTTCCGCCGGGTCACCTGCGGAAGTTCCGTAAACGTGCTGCGGAAGTTCCGAAGAATGCCAACTACAACAACAAAAGAGAACACCGGAGCGCAATTTGAACCTTACTCTATTGACTGTGAGACTCACCCACTTCCTCTGCACTACGACTGACATGTTCGATAATGCACTTTAGTTAATGACGAGGCCACATCATATTAGACAACACATTCAAAACCCTGTTCTGGCAGGCCAAAGTGCTGCGGAACCTCTGGCATTTTTTGGAATTTCAGCAGGGAAGAAGATCCTGCGGAACTTCCGGTTCTTAACCAGTTTGGCATGAAAATCCCGCGAAAGTTCCAATTTTCAACGTTTTCATTTTTGCAGTAGTAAACAAAGTCCTGCGGAACTTCTGCAAATTCGACTTGTCCTGCGGTAGTTCCGGTGATTTGTCTGAGAAAAACACATAGAATAAAAATGGGTAAACACTTCAAAGACTATTCGACGCAGGTTTTCTTTTTCCTCTGTTCAACAGTGATGTTGTCAAACCATTTTGAGATCACTGAGATAATCGTCACGATTTTGAGCCCATGGTTTTTGCCACACTCCAGCAATTTTTAAAAATTTCCGGTCTTAACCTTTGGAAGAATTGTGGTAACAGGCTGATTGAGTAAGCAAAATGCAGAAAAACGAAATTTTGGTCATTTCCGACTACTTTTCAATGAGTCCAAGTTGATTTTTTCAAAAGTCTTTAGTTCTGCAAAGTAGATACAGGATTGCATCAAACACTGAGAAATCTTCGGAATTCAAGTGTTTCAACTCGTATCGTTTGATACTAATTTTATAAAGCAGTGAGCGTTCACCGCTTCGAGATATCGAAATTTGGGTATGGCTATAGTCGAGTCCAAAAATTCTCAATCAACACGTTGACGACAGCGCCGCGCAATGGTGCGCGGCACCTCATATTCCAATTTTAAGGTACCCAGTCGTTCTAATTTGTGTTCATATGATCGCTTTAGGCCGAGGGGTATTTCGTGTTGGCCTCGCCCCTGTTTTAGCAGGCTCCGCCCACTCCGCTGCCTTCTGCAAGGAGCTTTTTTCGTCCTCAAAACGCATAGAAGAGGCCATAAATGACCCCCAAATCTCAAGCGACTTCAGCCTAGGTCCCGTCCAATATTAGCGCCCCCCCCCCCCCTCGGTGGCGAGCTCCGCCCATTTCTCAGAATTGCAGAAAATCGCACGAATTCTTGAAATTCGAGCAAAATTCAGCATTTTTTGTCGAGTGGGCGGGCTTGCCACAAGGGGCGGAGCTGCTCCGCCCACTTGTAACTTAACTTTGTTCTTCACGCACAGGTGCATGCTTACGTACATGCAGCCAGGCGTAAAAATGCTGGGAAACGGCTCGCCCACAAGGACAGGCACCAAAAAAAATTGTTCGTCGTCAACGTTTTAAGATGTTTTAAGATTTCATTCTCGAAAGTTTACAAATTGGGAAGAAAAAGAATTGAAAAAAAGGAAAAAAATTGCCTATCGGAAAGAAGAGAAAAAGCTGCATTGGATACCACAGGAGCTGCTTGTCGTCATTGTTCCATGAGGTTTGGCCTGACCAGATATGGAACCTGTTACCACCACACGAATAATCTTGGTAATTCAAAAAACCAGCTGGAGACAACAAAAAAATTCATGGTTTTGCACTGTGTTTGTCTATCCAGCTTTTATCGAAACTCTTTTGAAAGTTAAAGTTCAGAATAAAAAAACTGAATTCGCCAAGCTTGAGCATGGTAAAAACCATGAATTTATTTTTGCAAATAAGTAACCACTAAAGCAATCTGAAAACATAACTAAGAGAAAATAAAATCTGCGTTTTTGAAATTGATAAAAAGTTTCAAAAGTGCTTGCTCATTTATGTATGTGTTTTTAAATTCTGAAACGACAATCGTTGTGGAAAAACTAACTAGCTATGTTCTCTCTGCTTTAATGGCTGCATCTTTAGGACAATCTACCCAACACTTTAGACGATCTTGACAGACAGGAGTTTAAGAATCTGGAAGATCGCATTGCGGTAAATGAGTCGTTATGACCTATTAGCAAGTGCAAAATCATCCTTTCAGAAAAAAGTGGACGCAGATAAAATACTTCAAATCCATCGTTTCTCGACAATAGCCCCATGAAATTCAAAGTTTTGCGTTACTTTTCTCATGAGATAATAAACATGATATGGAAGAGATAGCTCCTCAAGTGATGGCAGATTGTACAGAAATGATATGGAGTTCTAGCAAACTTTGCGTTAGCTCACTTTTTTGTGTAGGTAATTTGCTAATCTTTTTTTACGAAACGTGTATTACAGTGGCCGCAATACCACATACTTTTTAGCGTTCGTTTTCATCAGAAAAAGAAAAAAAAGAGATATGAAATTGTAATATGTTTGGAGATGACAGAGAGCTCTGGTTTCAGTATACCACTTGGGGCTCAACTCAGAAATTGTTGAAGCAGCTGAAATGTTTCCTGAAAAAAAAGCAAGGGAACGCGAAACATGCTAGGCTTATTGGCGGCTACTCAGTCAAACACACGGTTTAGAAACAAGTTACTACGTTAGTAATTACCCACGTTACTACTTACTACGTTGACTAAAATGGTTTACCGTTTTTCTTGCACGAAGCGCGCGCAATCTGGATGCAGGGGTGGAGCAAACATATTGGTTTGTTACAGCGGAAAAACAAGTATAGGCTGTAAAAACCAGCATAGTTTATACGGCGTCGCGCGCGGCAAATTTTGGCAACCAGCGCGGGACCGAAACTGGTCGATACAGCCTATATATGACACCAGAGACCGTATTCATCATTAAACAAGAGGTAAATTTTACCTTGAGGTAAATTTTACCTCAAGGTATTGAGGTAAACTTTACCTCAAGGTATTGAGGTAAATTTTACCTCAAGGTAGATTCCACCTTGAGCGATTCGTATTCATCAACGGACCTTGAGGTAAATTCTACCTTTGCCAGCTTGATATACAGACGTTTATTTGGAGCACGCTATGACGTCTTAGCGGTGCATAAAGTTTTTTATTGCCAACGAAACTTTTGCTAGGACAAAATTATTGTTGATTGTGTCCTTCGCGCCCGAGATGACATGTTTTGACAGGGAGACGGTTCGAAGTACCCTTACATGTTTGAACACGACAAAATGAGAATGTCTCAGGTCTTAAAAGATCAAAGGGAATTTGTGGGGAAACGGCCCTTTCGAGCCGCTCGCCATCACAGCGCGCCTCTGATTGGTCAACATGTCCACTGCCATAACGATACTAGTTCATTTTTGTACATCTTTCGTGTCCAACATGATGATAGGTTTTGGTACAGGCGTATTACATATTTCGAACTAAGAATTTTCCCGTTAACTGTAAATGCGACTTGTTAGCTCTGCCAACGGCGCCGCGCGCGGCGAGACGAGCGTCGCGCGCGAAGGGTTCAAAAGGGCCTACACCCGAATTTGTGGCCATTTTCTTTGTTCAAACTACATATTTTGACAAAACATGAGTTCGCACCTCATTTTCTAAACTTATAAGCGGAGGATAGCAAGTTGCAGTGGCCTCGAAGAAATATGTACAGGGTGTCGCAAAGTCTTTTAGCCTAATTTTGCAACGGTGTAACTTTGTTGAATCCTTTGCATTCGAACCAAAGTTTGCAAGTGGGTTTGTCGTAAAGATGACATTACTTCAAAAAAAAATGACATTCCCATCTGCACAAAACACCGGTTTCTCTTCATTGAAGAATTGTAGAAATGAATCATAAATTCTTGGAATGGTTCTGCCACTGAGAAGGAAAAACTTTGCGGATGCGAAAGCCCGAAAAGCTGAAATGTAATACTAATCACTTTGAGTGGCAGATTTCGGTTGTGAGATTGCATTTTCTACCAAAACATCGTTGGATAATCACGCCGGTCACATTATAATCACTGTTATTTATTGTCCTCAAGAAGTTTATAACTGTTACTTTGCCCCTTTCAAAGTCTGAAACGATAATTGTTTCGAAAAAAATAAAATGAGAACTTGACCGTTACAATAACTTTAAGCTTACAGACCTCAGTGATTTTTCAGGAGCTTGTGGCTGGCGCGGGCGCGCTTGCCACAAGCTTTGCCCGCTTTTGCCCGCTTTCCTGCTTTTCGGCGCTTTTGGACACTTCGGAGTTTTTTTCGGCGAATTTGACCGTCCTTTAGGAAAAAAAACTGATTTTATTCAACACATCCTCCCCTGCTTGCAACTAAAATGATGATATTAGAATGAACCCTACTGCAATACAATTTACCTTGAACTGTACCTCAAGGTACAATTTACCTTAAGGTATAATTTTCGTATTCATCAAAGTCTCTCTTTCAAGATTAGATTTACCTGTGCCCAGATGATTAGGACTGACGTATATTAGGAGCGTGGCATGACACACTTGCAGTAAATTGCTTTCTTTTGTATTTCGTAATATTTTCACGAGGAACGTGCTGAACGTGAACGTGATATCGGTTTCAGAGTTTTACAGTCAATAATTTTGAGACTGTACAGTCTATATCTCTATATACAGGTTTCATGGACGCTGAGTTCAATACTCAACTAGTCACAAGATTGCGAAGCTTTTTAAACGGTGTAACCGCGCTTTTTAGCGACATTGAAAAAATGGCCGCTACCTCTTACCTGGCATAAATCTTCAATGAAGCATCATTATAAGTTGGGAACTTCACAGTTAGAATCGGCAACTCTAATTAACCTAGTGTAAAAGTTTTCAGGCTGTTGTGTTTCCTTTCCGAGGCAAAATATGGCCCTTCACGGCTCAAAACCCCTTTTTGAAGTTTCCACCGTAATCCTACAGTAAGAATGAGAGATCGGCGATTCGCTCTATACTGTAAATCTAAGTTGAAGCCAGCTCTACAAAATGGTGCCTAAAGCTTCTCGAAAGACTTCGTTAGAAGAGAGTTATTCACAATCAAACAGTAGAAAGCAGAAAATCTGTATGTTTGTGCACATTGTGCAGGTTGTGCAGGGTGTGCAGGGTGTGCAGGGTGTGCAGGGTGTGGAGGTTGTGCAGGGTGTGCAGGGTGTGCAGGGTGTGGAGGTTGTGCAGGGTGTGCAGGGTGTGCAGGTTGTGCAGGGTGGGGAGGGGGTAAGTGAGCATGCTGATTCGAATACATTATTGACAGGACCGGGCGGAGCCGGGTTTGCCAGCTTGTAAACAATATTTCGAACCCAAAGGGGGTGTATCTAACAACAAGAAGTTGATTGCTTCTAGTTAAATCGGATTTTAAATTCGTGATGTTGTTTCTACAACAATGGAATCTACCTTTCTGGATTCTTCTTGCACAGTTATCAAGAGAGTAGTCTTAACAAAAGTTTCTAAGATGTCAAAGTAGGTTTTTTCATAGTCACTTTAGGTTTGAGTTAAAACCTGCCTTATTTGATGAGGTTTTTACCGATAATATTTTTTCAAGTACTTTGCGAATTTTTATGGTGCGCAAAATTCCGCCAAATGTTTTCTGCCTCGTTCTGAGTTCTTCCCTGTTCACACAGGTCCGATTATTCCAAAAGTAGTGAAGTTTTGACTTCCAAAGCTTCAAAATCATCATCATTGAAAGTATGTACAGACGGTTCCCTAATGGGTCACTTTCGGGGTTTAGGGAATATTTTTTTGCTCAAAGCTATAAATGTGTGCGTTGTGAGTAAATGAAGAGTTGAGATAAAACTTTCCCGCTCGACCAGAGACGTTTGTCTATTTTTTTGTATTCAACAGCTAGCTCTTTCTTCCTGCTAAAGTGCGGAACAATGTGTATTAGACATACAAACATTTTGGTGGAACCATCCTTTGAAATCCGATATGACCAGTCAGGAAATGGGATCGAGGGTTACGTTGCAGTACACGTAACCATTTGGTAATGTTTAATAATTCTGGAGATGTTTTTAAAGTAGCTTCATCAAGCAACATCGACTTTATGATTAAACACAGCAACTGTGCTCAAGATGCTGTAAAAGAGAATAACTCCTGCATATGACTACATCAATCCACGCATTTGTTAAAATGTATAAAGAATGAATGAAGAAGAAAATTTCTAAGAATGTAGACTGAAATTTTGCCTTAAGTTTGCTCAACCCCCATAACTCTCAATAATCTTAACAAAATTTCGCAAAATTGCCACAGTGACCTAATTTACGTTACTGCATTACTCATGCAAAAAACCAGCCTCCGAAAGTCTATAAATCCCTAAAGGTATCCTTCTAACCTTGCCTCCAGCTAGGGTTAGAAGTTCCATTGAGAATTTACCTCAAGGTAAATGCAGTCCTTTTGATGAATACGGATTTTAAGTGATAACAGTACCTTGAGGCAAAATTCACCTCAAGGTACTTTCCATTCAATACTAAACACCTTAAGGTAAATTCTCAAGGTAAAATTTACTTTGAGAATTTACCTCAAGGTACTTTTGTGAATACGGGTATTTGCTGATAATGAGTGATAAAACTACCTGGAGGTAGAATTTACCTCAAGGTATCAATGATGAATACGACCACAGATTTGGTATTTATGTTTAGAGCAACATTCACTATGTAAAAGATTTTTAAAACATGAGTGACTTTATACCTTCCCTGGAATCTTCCTTCGGTACGCCACCAAAACGAATGAGTTAATCTGGAGCATGTAGTGTGTATTTGTGAGTTCACATTTTGGACCATATAGTTAGATTTCCATATCCCACCTCTTTCTGGGACTTAAAGGTTGTCCCGGTAGTTTTTGCATCTCCATCTTTCTGCATGTCTTGGGATCCCTAGACCCCGAATTTGAGCTTCAAAACAGGTGAAAAGGCCATTTTCGGGGCGTTTACCCAATTTTCAAAAGGCAGGTCGGATGATTTCAATGGAAAGTCGGGAGGCCATGGCAACAAGACCCTCCTGCAATTTTTGCTTTGGATAGCTTGCACAATGCGGAAGAGCGGTCGTGGGGTCGCGCCGAACGGCAAGCGTCGTCCGTCGCGCCGATTCGGGCTGCACGCGCCGGTTCAAGGACTATTTTTTGTCTGCCCAGGGGAACATCAACCAAGCGGACTGCGACTAGAGGTCAGTGGGATGGCCAGGAACCCCACCATAGCAATACCTCCAGGGCGCGAATCTGCCGGCACACTGCCTTCAAGACTGTTCTTCTTTGAGTTCCCTTTTCAGTCCAGCTCCTTTCGCTTTTTACTTTTTTTTGATGAA